TCACATCTTTACGGGGTAAACATTCACATTTGTGTGGGCTTGCGTCATCTCATTCAAATCAAACCACAAAGTACTTAACCCATGTTTTAATAGTTGTGTGTCTTGGGCCCTCCTCTTCTCCCTCTTTTAATCTTAATCAAATTGTAACGCAAATCACTTGAAGACAACAACGATAACCATTTCTCTACGAACAATCCACATTTTTGTGAAAAGAATATCGTAAATATATTTTTATTCATACGTAGATGATTTGTTAAACGCGCACATACACAACCGAATCATACATATATTTAAGCATTCTAATCTCCAATTCCGTAATGGATAGCTGTAACAGCAACCAGAACAAAAATCATGATGAAGCGTTCACAACAATGGAGTGGTTCGTTCCGCTTTTCGAAAAGTAAATTTTAAAATGTATGAATCGTTTCGACCACAACAAAATGCAGAGCACGAGACAACAAACGGATGGCATTGTATTTCAAACGACAGTCATTTTCAATTTTCGACAAATTGTGTTTTTCCTCCCGGATTCTGCATTGCAAATAATAAACTATCTCGGAAATTGTGATATCAACTGTATCTGTACATCAGTACATGCTGCATGTTTTTAATTCGGTCGGTCGGTACATTGATCAAAAATTCATGTTCAAATGCGGAAATGTGTGTCAATGTTTGATGTATGTTTTTTTTCTCGTTTTTTATTACTTTTTTCGTCTTTGGCAATGCAATCAACAACAAATTTGAAAAAGAATCCATAGCATCTAATTCTATGTCAACTCATATTGAGCAAAAACTATTTAAAGTAATTTGTTTTTCGCATTCTTTTTGGTATTGTTGGAAAACTTAGTCTGCATCATGTTTACAGATGGGAGAATATAGATCAAATAATGTTTCTTTCATTATTATCCTGTCTCTGATGTGATTTACATTTTTTTGGCAAAAAGCTATTAAATCATGGACACTCAAAAAAAGAGTAATTGTTGAGTTTGTGAAATTAAAATAATACGAAAAGTAAAAAAAAATAGATAAATTAAACTTCCTAAATCATCTTAACCCAACCATCATCTTAACCCACCGTATTAATGTTACAGCGAAACGTAAATTTCAAAAATTTTTAATGAACAAAAAATGACGAGAGACAGACAGACAGAAAGAATAAAACTGGAAAAGGATTTTGGCGCATCGTACATTCCAAAAAGAGATTCGCATCAGCTGTCTAAAAAAAGAATCTCTGTGTGCTTTTTGAATTGCCCTTTTTAAACGACATCATCATTGTGGATAAGAAGTCGAAATTGTTAAAATAAACGAAAAACTTTAAAACATTTGACTTTGTTTTAACACAAGTTAAAATGTTGGTAGTTGGTCATCGAATTCGTTTCTATCTTTTTCCATTCGTCATTGGGTGCTGCATTTACTGTTTAAATAAATATCAGTTTGTAGTGTATCAATTTCCTGTCGCTAAAATCCCGAAAAATCGAGAATGAAGAGAAATAAATCGAATTTACGAAAAATGAAAAATATTTTGTTATTTATTCTAGTTGTCGTTTGGTGTGTTATTTCTATTTGCTTCACTTGTTAGCTGGTGGCAATGGGACTTTTGTCGTCGATGCCGTCCGTTGCATGTGTATTTTTCAATGGAATATTTATATAAAATATCATTTTGTAAATACAATGAAATTCTATTAGCTTTGCACTTTATCCTCGTGCGACGAACGGAATACAATCCGGATATTGTGAAAACATTTTCTCTTTTTACTTCTCTGGTCGATTTTTCCACCACGCAATGTTACACATCCAACAATATCTGCAGAGCTCAATTTTCGCATAGCATCAAAGCGCTTCGGCCTTTGTGTGTGCGGGAGCCTTTTTTTGTTCTCTCAGTGTTTCAATTTATATATTTCTTACTTGTCACTGCAATTGTCCATTTTTTGACATCGCATCGCACAAATGACACATAAGAAAAGTGGCAGCAAACAAATATTGGATGCTATTTACAAGTGCTGCAATGGTCACAGCACCAATGTTAAATTCGATTACAGTTTTTGTTTTGTTTACCATGTCCTACGGATATTTGGACCGTAGACGTATACGTAAACGTGAGCGAGCACACACACATTCACAACAAAAAAAGTAACTCGATCGGATTGAGGGAAACAAATAACAGTTGTCTTTTTTTTGTATGTGTTTGTCCACTTCTAAATTATGAAACATGTCCACTGAAAATTGTGAATTTTCGTTTGTTTGTTTGTTTGGCGGCTGTGAGATCATGATAGGTGATTTTTTTTTATTCATTTTGTCATCCTGGTTTTTGCGCGTAAATCTGCGCTTTAAATGGCAGAACATGTCTACATGTGTTCGAAATATGCATATATGACTGGCCACCGAATGCAAACGAATGACATGCTCATGTAATGATTCATATGGTTGTTTTCAACATTGTTATTGAATCTATCCACATCAATAACAATGAATAAATTTCACTGGCCAGCCATTGTCGCTTTACTGGGAACAAAGATTTTTAATTAAATTCGTTGCTGTTCGCTTTCAATGTGTTTATATTTGTTTTTACCTGCGTTGCAGAAATTCTCTCGAAATTCGAGCAGACAAAAAAATATGTTTAGCACATTCGTTGACGAAAACAAACACCCTTTATTGGTTAAATCGAAATTTATCATTTTAAAATGAGAACAACTCTGAAAGTGACAGAAACAACAAAATGATATTGATCGAAATTGCAGTTTACAGTACAAGCTCGATAAGAAAATAAATGTTGTTTGTTTAATTTTTCAATACAACGCAGTTAAAATTAACACAAGATCTTAATTAGTTTCTTTATTCACTGGACTAATAATAATCTTATAATATATGAATAAATTGACCGTATCAATTATCACATTATCGCGTTTTCCTATTATGGTCACTTTGTACCGTCGCATAACTTGATCTAGTGGACTGTAACGTAACTGGTAATTTACACCACATATATCAATGTTCTTTTTTTCTTTGAATTCCACCGTAATTAAAAGTGGTGTTCGTGAATTTCAAGTGAAATCAATTTAAAAATAATAAATGACACTGTCATAAATTATTAAATTATAAATCAAGACACACGGTTTCCCTTTTAATATATATTGTAAAAGGTTATAATTTACTGCATGCAATTTTGCACTATTAATTCGCAATAAAACCAATATAAAACCAATAAAATGTTGAAGATTAAAGAACAATATAGCTTGCGGTCTTCAATGAACATTTTTTACGTAATTGAGACGGTCTCTTTGAGCGTAATCAAATCATATTTCATGTATGATGGGTAGAAATTTACCAAAACAGAAGAAAAAAATCACAATTACGAACTTATGTTTGTACGCGTGAAGTAAGTTTTTCTACAGAATATTTTTGGACATCCAATTAATTGTTCAAATAAAAAAAAGAATGTAATAAATAATATGATTAAGTAATTAATAACAAGTTCAACAATTTTTTTTCGTTCAATGAATGTATGATCATACATTTGTGGTACTTTGTTAAAGAGTGCGCGATTCATCATTTGCATTACAAAGAGGTCAGAAGTCTTTTTGATTGGTCTTTAACAAAAAGTATGGTCGTATCGGACCCATAAAACTATGATGTGACAATTAATCAACATCAAATGACGACTGAGCGAATAAAACCAAAATACTCTGTGCGAACATTGCTTAGAAAGTAACATCCACTCAACAGAATCGCCACGAAAAGCGACGTGAACCAATTTCAATTTCGCTGGAGAATTTATTTAAAATTCGGAAATTTGCTACTGTATTCCAATAAAATTTGAGTCAAAACGCATTCTCGATTGCGGTTGTTGTTTTTTTCGAGAGGTATATTTCATCCAGTTTGCACTATAATAATTTTTTCAAATATTTGGTATATGATGGATGTTAATCGTATAGGTTTAAGTGTGTTATAAACAATTTTGTTAATGAAATTAATTCACGTGCTATTTAATAGGATATCGATGCAATTTAATATGTCATTATTTTGATTAAATTTATTGGTGAAAGTATGTTCCGTAAAAATATCAGTATCAATTTACAATGATTAAATGAAATAATGACTCACAATTAAAATGCGTTTGGTGATAGATTTTGTTGAATAAATAACAAAAATTCAATGTACCATTCAATTTGAACAAATGTATTGAAGCACTCCAATCATTTAAAGTGCATTTATGTGATTCTTTTGAACGATAAAAAAACATGTTAACTCGAATCAATTATTGTGCCAGTGTACACAGCGTATTGCAAATAGACCACTCGAAAATGAAATAGAACAGTAAAAGAACGGGGGGAAAAGCTAACTTTAAGCCAATTTAATTTTACTAGTGCGCTTCTTTGTTTATTTTACCATTTTATATCGAAATTGATTGTAAGTAATTTTTTTTATGATTTTTTAGTACAAATCAAAAGCGATATATATGTAGGTAAAAAAAAATTGTGCAAATTGAAAAATCGTCATCAAATAAATGGCAATATAGTTCATTTGCTTAATTTTCAAAGAACAAAAATATTCAATGCTAAAACTGTGTCAAAGGAAAAAAAATAGAAATAAGCGTTTGACAGAAATAAAGTGGTGGTCGTTTATTTTTTTTATCCGACGGTTGATGTATCTGCAGTATTTAATCAAATTCCAGTAGATCAGCATCAATATCGTGATATATAGAGAGAGAGCGAACGCCAGTGGGTTAGAGATGTTGTGCATGTAAAAAAATGACATTGGATACATTCAATTTGATCGAATGACCAAAGGCTACTGTGTTTAAACCCCATTAATATTAAAACGACACACAGTGGATATACAAGTGCAAGCAAGCAAAAAACATGCGTCAATAAAAGCACTCATCATTCATTTTTCTCATTGCTTTCATTGCATTTCGCTTATACTGAACGGGTGAACGGGAGAAAAACACCATCAATTGATTTTACATCTTTTTTCCTTGTTTCTATTTTTCCGTTTTATAGTTGATGATCCAGAGAGGAAGAGGTGGTGAACTGCTGAAAATCCGCATCATACGGTTCACAAAGTGACACCACGTTTTTCATTGGTTGCTCTTAACATTCAATAGACGACAACAACAAAAAGGAAAGCGAACGATGAAACAACGATACATTTAAACAAACTAAATGCTGTTCTGTACCGAACAAAAATTGCATGACTAGACTCTGTAATAACATTAAAACGTTGCACATATACACCCACCACCAAAAAAATAACCGACATAAATGAAGACGAAGTCGACAATGGTAGAACAACGTTCAACATAGGGAAAAACTCCGTTGCATCAATTATCTCTCTGGAACTTTGGTAGTGGTTTAATTCAGTGTGTCATTTCAGTTGCGTTTAATTGAGTATCACTGTGGAAATTAGAGGAAATTTTGAAACACTATTCAATCTTTTTTGTAAATGTGAATCTTTTTGTGTTATGTATACGCGATCCACTTCTTCTTGAAACGAACTCAAAACGAAAGAAACCACAAAACAATTGCTCCCAACGCATTGTTCTGTACACAAAACGAAGATTGCATATGAATGCGTCAAAAATTTGTTGAAACAATTTTAATCATTTTCCTCAAGGATGTTTTGTGACCACTTTGAAAGTTCGAGCTTAGTGAACACATTCAAATAAATGAAAACATTTCAAACTTTTGCAGTCTGGTGTCGGTGTACATTTGTTTATTTGAATAACGCGGTCCGAGTGAAAAGAACAGTCTCCAAAGTGAAAAAGTGAAGTGTCAAATAAAACTGAACATTAAACTGTTTTTTTTTTGTTTTCGATATTAATTCGCAAAGAAACATCGTCAACGAATGAATAAATAATGAAAAAAACAGACGAGACAGTTAGTATAATAACAAAAGAGATTCCATTTAATGTTTAATGAACATTCACAAGCTGAAATTGCGAATAATAAAACTCGAGACATAAAGCCAAGTAAATTAATCTAAATTCTTTTAAGCATCATTCAATTTGTAAAATTCTTATTCATCCGAATTGAATGATTCAATCAGTCGATAGAGGGGATGATATATAGAGTATTCGATTGAAAATGTCAATTTTCGTCTTGAAGCTCACTTAGTCGAATAAAAATTCAAAATTATTTTTCGAAACTCTTTTGTACGGCCAAAGGTAAATACACTCAAAGCATCGTTTACCTTTTTTCCATCGAATGGAATGAGTAAAAAATAAAGTTCTTCAAAGTGTAAATGAAGTGGAACACGACCCGTTTGAAAAAGTCAATTGTGTCGCAGTCGCGATAAGGTCTTTGTACATTTCTGCTCAGATCGAATGTGTTGAGTGAACAACAAGCAGATAGAAAAAGAACAAGACGAAAAAAAGCGCAACAAAGAAAAACGACAAAAGAAAAACTCAAAATTCAAGACTAAACATTCGGTAAATTTGTGTCGCAGTGTGGAAACAGTGAGAAACATCGCCCAAATAGACAAAATCATGTACAACAAAATGGCGTCAATTGGACTGGCGCTGCTATTCCTAATGCTCTATTCAGGTAAGTTCAATTAGCGTTTACATGCGCTCTAACGTATTTATTCAATTTTCGTGTGTATGAATTTCGGAACGAATGAAGTGCATCGTTTAGGTAGTAACAGAATTTTCGCAATCTTGTGTCAATTCAATTTCATGGTGGTCCGCATTTCAAAACAACAACAAAAAAATTCAAGAACGCAAAACGAAGGATGGGAGAAACGCACGCGAATCCTCTTATTTTAAAACTCGATAAGCGTGTGAATTGTTACAATCACTATGTATAATTTTCGCAAAAAGTTTCTCTTTTGTTCATCACAGATCCGTGCAGTACAGTACCTTCAATAGCTCTCTTTCCCATACTTTTGACCGTCTCTCTTTATCTTTTGTGCACATTCATTGTAATACTTTGAAGTTTCTCATGACAGAGCCGTGTGATTGTGTCGTCGAACGCGCGTATGTTTTCCATTCTGCTAGTAGGTATCTCTCTCTCTCTCCTTTGCATTGTCTTTGTACCTAAAACAAACTGCTGATTTTTCTTGCATTCTCAATAGTAGTGTACTTTTGCCGAAACCATCCTAAACATATATATGGGAAATTCGCTGCCGTTGCTGCCGCGCCATACCGGTTTTCCATCTGATTTACTCACAGTTCATAAAGGGACCATTGCGAATTTAATATAAACATGCATTGCAATTAATGAAAGAAATGGGGGAAAATGCCGATTTTACTAAATTGGTGGATCGATCTATACAATATATGTTAACGCATGAAAACAAACATTTTTCACATTTGACAAAAAAAACGCTCCGAAAAGGGTTGAATTTAAAAAACACGCATGCATATGTATATGGTGTAAACGGCGTTTTTTTCTCATTTCAATTTCGATTTTCTCTACTTCTTTTCATTTTTTCGTCATATTTAAATAGAAGATATTTTTTGAAACCTTATAATCATTATAAAATGTTGGAATCATATTACATTAAATTCGTTATTTTATGTCACGTGCGCGATTGTCACGCTGTTGATATATCTGAAAGAATTCATACAATTCTTGGTTTGACAATATGTAAATGAACTCGTCAACAATAATTGGAATGGCTAATTCACTGAACATATTCTATCGTGATGGAGCTTTTCATACATTTGCTGGAGTTTAATTTCCGTTTATCGAGCGAAATGCAAAAATCGAACTATTTTACTTGTTTATGCTTTCTACAATAGCCAAATTTTCACCGATAATAGCTACATTCGTCACACACAAACTTGACCGGTTCGCTAAATCTTGGAACTTTTAACATATTCTAGTTCACAATGCCACCAGCGGAACTAAAATTCCGTATTTTAGAACCATATACATCTTGTAAGCACAGAGCTTCAGTTCTGTTGACACCACTAGTGGTTCTAAAACTAGTAGTTCTAAAATAGGGAATTTGTCATTTTTGTGTGCATAATTTTGATTGCATTAGAACTTGACAATGAATTATTGAACTAATATAAGTAACTATATATCGAAGAACTAAGTAACCGTATAGCGTATATCAAATTGATGTATTTCATTTTAAGTTCAAAACTGATACAGACAACTCAAGAAACTATTCAAATAAAAAAAAAAAACATTTTTATTCAACCAACGAATTGGAATTGAAAAAAGGAGTTTCATCATAAAACTTTAATGGTAAAGTATAGATTTCCGAAGTTATGTAATAATCATTTGTCTTATTGACAATAGTTTGTTTGATTTCGTATACTTTCCAGAGGATGATTCGTACATTGACAATTATTGTGCTATTTCTGGCAACAACAACAAATCCGGTTGCATCAAATACTTCAACAGGAGAAGCACTGGAACAGTGATTAAATGAACATTTTACCTGTACGCCACATCCATTCGGGCGAATGAAATCAATTTTTCCTATGTATGAATGTGGCTGCGAGAAGAAATTTTTCGTCTGTTTAAGAAATATTCAATCTATTGCTGCTGATCATATAGGAGCACTATACTTTGCAATGAACAGTCAGTGTACCACACAAATGCACAAAAAAACGTTTTGCCTAGAATCGCAATCAATACATATAAAATCATCCATACAAATTTCCAGATGCATTCGCTATTTAGTTGATACAAATAAAAAGCCTGAGGTATTTGTAGCTGATACAAATTTGTATATCAATTCTTCCATGCACAATTACTCACCGGAATATATAACCACGTTCCAGTCAAACAATTTCGGACCTGCTGAGATTTAAGAAAATGAGGTGTATTTCGTTTTATTAAAAATCAAAATAAAAATCAAAATAAGTTTGTGAGAAATTTGTGAAATTTTATTATTTCGATTATCTAGGAATTAAATTCCAATCATATATTTTGCAATCAAAGTGAACTACTCTTGATTTGGCAATAAAGTCTGGGCCACGTATGTTCCAAATGGAGAAAAATCTAGAATAAATCGTTTATGTATTGTTCATGCGGTCGAATCTTCCCAAAATTCAACGATACCATCTTTGATGAATGATATGAAATTTGTTTTTTCGTCGTGATAGATTTCAACAGAAATATTATTTTTTTTAGCATCCTGTTGAATTTGCCTGGCATATTCAATATGTATACGATCACTTGTGATATTAAATCGTTGAAGTGCTGGCATATTTTCTGTCATTTTAACAATATCAATATCTATTACGGATACCGAATTGAGTTGTAAATCAATCAATTTATTAAGACCAAAGAAATTGTTGAGACTGATGTTAGTTATGCCATTATTTGATAAATCCAAGATATGCAGATTGGTTAATGGCCGTAAATCAAATAAATCAGTGAAATTGTTAAACGCAATTTTTAATAATTCTAATTTGCTGTTTGATTGAAATGTAATGTGAGATAATTGATTATGATTTGCATAAAAGTAAACCACATTTGATGGTATGAACAGAGTTTTTAACATACAATTGTTGATAATTAATAAATTTAATAAATCCAAATACTTGAGATTGATGTTTGTCAAATTTTGATTCCAATTAATTAAAAGGTCGCGAAGTTTTTTGGACATCAGAAATGATTCATCGTGAACACTTTTTATCTTATTGTGACTTAAATTTAAACGGAACAGTTCCTTATTGTATTGAAATAGATCGGGACCAATTGTCTGAACACGATTAT